AACGTGAATTTATAAACAGAAGTAAAAACATCATTAAGTTTTCATATTCTTTTTTAAAATTCAAGGACGCTCATAGATATTCTTCATGCCAACTGTAAAAACCAAGGTAAATTATGGAGTTTGCTAAGTGATGAAATTTAATGCCTAATAAACGAAAGTAGGTATATGTTTTATTTTTATATATATATATTTTATTTCTTTATACATGCATTCATTTAATTACCATTTTTAAATATAATATAATCAGTGCTTATTTTATTTCATTATCTGTCTATATTTCTGATATGAGATAATATGTACCCTCATTTACATTATTCGGAATAATATCCTCCTCTTTGTCGTCATATTTATTACAACGTTTCGGCCGATGTATGTTCCGGCCTTCTTCCGGTGGTTGGAATGTCGAACTAAACACTTTAATTTGCGTAGACTGTTCTAATTCCACGTGCCATGTTTAATGGATGTCAGTTATCAGTTATCTCCTATTAATTCCCCTCTCCAAGTTCTCAACTGCCTTAACCGGGTATTGAATTCACACTGTTTGAATCCTGTCACTGGATCTAACCAACGCCTTTATCCATTGTGCCATGTGTCCTTGACAGTCTACTCCAGTGAGCGAAATAAAGGTTTCAGTTCGTCATTCCATCCATTGAAGAAGGCTGGAGCGTACAACGGCCGAAACGTTGTAATAAATATGGCGACAAAGATAAGGACAATAGTCGGAATAATGTAAAAAGTGTATTTTATTTTAATTTGATGAATTATTTATGTATAGATATTTTGATTTAACTGCTTCTTTGTACAGTATTTAACAAAACCCCAGTGAGCGAAATAAAGGTTTCAGTTCGTCATTCCATCCACCTGAAGAAGACCGGAGCGTACAACGGCCGAAACGTTGTGACAAATATGGCGACAAAGATGAGGACAATAGTCCGACTAATGTAAATACTGTGCATAATACCTCATCTCAGAAATATAGACAGACTCTGCTTCTTTGTACTTTTAAAAAATATATTCATGGTCATGTATGTTGACTTAGGAAAATTGTATTCTTTTAGCAAAGGAGATATTTGAAAAAAAAAATATCCGGGACTCAGTTTAACACTTTTACAAGATTCAATACCAGCACTTTCAAGAACTTACCGTCTATGTAAGTTATTTTTTTTTTCTTTTAATGTCTATTATTCTTTTAGATTGAATTTGTGGTTCAACCTATTTCTGTGTATGACTAATGCATCTGATAGATAATGTATAAGTTGTTTTTTGTGTTCATAGATATTTTTTTTTAATTTCTGCAAATTTCAATAAATGTACACACACACAAAAACATATATAATGTTTGTCTTTTTATCAAATGCGTCTCATCTTCATATCTATCTACTTTTCTTTTTCTGTATCAATTTCCTTTTGCTTAGGTAGCAATTTATCTGTCTATCCTTACCTATCGATCGCATTTACATCAATTATGCGTACACTTTACTTTTATTATCCTGCTGTCCGTCAATAATTTATTTTATTGATTGCGTTTGTTACTAAAACGACAAGAAAATAATAAAAAAGCAAATAGAGAAACGCTCAGCTGGTGGAAGCAATTGGTTAAGTTACTATCCTTTGTCGATAATTGAATTCCAAGTAGGAAGTTATTTTTTTTGTTTTTTGTACTGCAAATCGTTACTAATATTTAATTGATTCTTCAATGTTTCGTCGTAATGATAGGTGAATATATTTATTAGACTAATATATTAATGATTTTTTTTCTTTTTATATCTAGTAAACCTTTGGCAATATTACATGCATTTAATTATGCTGCACTCTTTTGACATTGAGAAATAAAATTAGAAAACCTTGTAACTGTATCGGCTGAAGTTACAACTGATAATATTGCCTGAACAGAAGTAATGAGAAAACAAACCATTTATTTGTAGCGAATCGATAATTCACATCAGGACACAGATATAAATTTCTAGTCTCCGTGTTGGTATCAGTTCAGTTGCAACTGTGCTCTAGCAAGCGTTTGTAATCAATAGACGAAATTGTATTCATTCAAGACTATAGTATGGTAGCGATCACGAATCTCATAATTTTTTATGGCCGTAGGAGGCATCACATTTACTGCAGAAAGAGCAGCAGTGATGTCTCATTGACAGGACAGCCTGACGCATCCCAACCCTCTCCAAGCTTACGTGAATTGAAAGTTTCCTATCTCCTAGACTGGTGGTCAATCAAGGCTAACACGCTCAGATCTGTCCTGCTATTTACCCATAGCTGGGGGGGGGAGAAATGGATTCATAAATTTCCCAAGGATATTAGCACATAAGCGAATTTAATGAACTCAGCTGCAATTCCAACTCAGCCTCTCCAAGCCGATTCGCCAATCCAAGGCGCTACGGTATTGTATTTTTTTGAAAATATTAGTTCAATATGTTTTTAAATTGATTTACGACATATCAACCTATTCTAGGTTACTTACTGTTGAATTTAACTGTTTTGGTAGCACACATTAATTTTGTTTTGTTACAGAATGCGTAGTCGAGACAAAAATGCCAAATTTCTACCGTGCTGGTTAGAACTTTGACGACCCAACTGAAAGAACCCCGTTGGCGTTGAATCCAGTTTTTTGATAGATTCTCTGTATGTACGTCTAAATTTAACGATCACTACTGTTTCAGAACTTGGGTAGACTGATCTAGTTCTACGGTTCATGTTTAATGGATGTCAGTTATCAGTTACCTCTTGTTAATTCCCTTCTCCAAGTTCACCACTGCCTTAACCGGATATTGAACTCACACTCTCTGGTTCCTTTCACTGGATCTAACTAACAACTTTATCCACTGTGCCCTGTGTTTTCAATGACACATGGCACAGTGGATAAATACTTTTGTTTATAAATACTTGTTGCTGATATTTAAAATATTAAGACATATTAAAATAAAAATAAATGAAATCAATAATGCTGTTTAGATCGTTTAGCAATCAGGCTATACTAACGTAGCGCAATCGTTAAGCGATTCCCTCTTATTGTGTCTCATGTCACGTTTCCAAAATCGAAACATATCAATAACTGTTTTATTCTCATTTAACAACCAGCTCGTTTAGCGACCTGGCTATTCTAACGTAACGCAGTCGTTAAATGCTTATTATGTGTCATGTGCCGTTTTCAAAATCGAAACGTAGAAATAACTAAGTTTAATTTAGTCTATCGCGGAATTACAGCAGTAGGATAGAGAGTAAAGATCTTATCCGCCATTTTAGTAACGAGTGTGTTATTAAATCCTAGCGATGTTCCTAACTCGCAGTGTAAGAAATCTGTAATCCTATAAAACTGTATTCGGAAGTACTATGTAGAACTGTTAATAGTACGATTTAAGTTCCAATGATTTTCATAAAAATGAGTAAACAAAAATTAGAGCGATGTAGGTTTTTTTTTTTCTACGTGATTAGCTTGCTGGAAAATACTGCTTAATTGGACACCTCAAGTGAACTTATCAGTAATTGGAGAATTTCGCTATCGACTTAGTAATATTCAATTGCCGTCTGATTTTCATTTAAGAATATACAGTCAGTCGCTTAATTAGAGTCTGTTCTCCATTTTAGAAGAGAATGTCTCTCTTTGTCGTTGAACTTTTGACTACGCCTTATTTCACTGTTAATACATCAGCCAAAATATTTCTCTACAAAAGTATTTGCATTCTGTTAAAATTTATATAACACATTTTAAGCATTATTTGGATAAACAATAAAAAATAATTCTTTAATTTTAAAATGGCTATTAATTTTCTGTGAGTTTTCATTTATATTCAATGACTTGTCTTGAAAAACTGGTGGCATTTTTTTATTATAAAAACAAAGCAAAATCGATTAAAAATAAAAACAAACGAATGATCCTTTCGACAAGATTTAAATTCTCAACTCTTATTCATTTCTGACATAGACAAAGTTTCAATTATTAGGCTACGAAAACTAAGCAGTAGTCGTCATTAAATTGAAAATATAACACTTTTCCGCGCTAAACTCTATACCATATTTATGTAATGAATATCAACCAAACTATGAACGATGAAAGAGAAAATATTATAAAATTAAGAGAAAATAGCATAAATTAATGGTAAAAGTTTTGAACTGTTACGTCATAATGTGTCCTGAAATAGAATTCAAATGGTAAACCAGCAGGTGGTAGCCGTATGCTTTTGTGGTGTCGGTTCAAATAGCATATAAATATCCGCTACCGATGAAGCCAACAAGATACATTTAATCTTGGAAAACATCCCCTCTGAAATGGTTAAATTTAACTCAATAAAAATTAATTAAGCTAAAACTTACCTTGAAATCCTCGATTGTACATTTAAATAAATATTGATAATTTTATTTATATTTAATTTCGTCTCGATTTTAAATACGCTTTTAAATCTTGATGAGGGACTTAAGATACTTTAACTTTGTTTTCAAGTAAAACAGATATTCGCTTGGATAGCGGACATTCTTTTATTGTTTTGAAGATATCAATTTCAAAATCATATTCCAACTTCTCGAGTGATTCTACAGTTGTTCTTTTTTATTATTATTTTTATTTTACCTTCTATAAAGTTTCCTCTCAGCATGTTCATTTACAACCCCCCGCTTTATCCGACACGCCCTGCAACATTTTCCCCGCGTTCGTTCCTATTTCATTCTATCCATCATTGAATAACTTATTTATGAGCGTTCATTGATTTTCACGTCTATCTCATTGGAGAGGCAAAAACAGAAGTAAAAAAAAAAACTACGCGATATTTGCATTCATGTGAAATGAAATTTATATTCAACGTTTATTCAAAAAGAAACACAGAAACGTATTCTTTATTTGATGAAGGATTTTATTCAGGAAAGAATTCCTATATAATTCTTAATTTAATCAGAAACTAGAGAGTTTTTAGTATAAATCATTGCGATAAGTATCAGAGCAGAGAAAATAGGCAGGGAATTAGCGATTTAAATTTTGTCGAGAAATAATGGTTTCAAACAATGCTGTCCATTTGCGAACATCAGCTTTCAAGGAAAAGAAATCGAGCGAAGTTATTAGATGAAAGGATATATGAATGAAGATAGATAGATAGATAGATATGAACAAACAATAGATAGATAGATAGATAGATAGATAGATAGATAGATAGATATGAACAAACCATAGATAGATAGATAGATAGATAGATAGATATGAACAAACCCTAGATAGATAGATAGATAGATAGATAGATAGATATGAACAGACTCTAGATAGATAGATAGTGATGTGGGGCCAAAGTTGGGACCACAGAAGTAAAACACGGAACACGGATTAGATGTAAGAAAGATATATTAACAACAGGTTGCAGAGATAGTGTAAGCGGAGCTTACTATATGTTAGTGTCCAACACTGGTAGTCGTACGAGACTCTCACTGTCTCTCTCTGTCACGCTCTAGAGTGCTATGTCTCCTACTTAATATAGGCCTGGAAGAGTCTATTGTGTAGGTAGTTTCCGGTCTCACAATAGATAGATAGATAGATATGAACAGACTCTAGATAGATAGACAGATAGATAGATAGATAGATAGATAGATATGAACAGACACTAGATATGAATATGCTGATATAGATAGACATATATGAATATGTTGAAATTATTCGGACTATCATCCTCATCTTTGTTGCCATATTTATCACAACATTTCGGCCGTTATACGCTCCGGCCTTCTTCAGGTGGTTGGAATGTCGAACTGAACCATTTATTTCGCTCGCTGGACAGACTGTTCTAGTTCCACGTGCCATGTCTGATGGACGTCAGTTACCAGTTATCTCCTGTTATTTCCCCTCTCCAAATTCCCCACCGCCTTAACCAGGTATTGAACTCACACTATTTGGGTCCTGTCACTGGATCTAACCAACGGCTTTATCCACTGTGCCTTGTGACCTTGAGAAGATCTGTCTATGAATTTCAAGTTATTATATAAAAATGTTTTGAAATAATATCCGATAATGCAATTCACCAATTTTGGGGTTAATCAGATCGAAGTCGAAAAAGTGAATTGTGTATGTATTTGTGAGTTCATTTCGAATAATGAAATCTCATATTTTTTTTCATAATCTGGCGTTGTTGCTTGCGGGGAGATCCAAGAAAATGAGTGACTTTTTTAAAAAGTCGTTTTAGGTAATATATATAAATGGATCTTTTTTTAAGCATCTCACCCCAAGCAAGGCGGGAAGCCACTAGCACGCAAGGGGTTACAGGGGGAGGGAAGTGCAAGACATGAATCTATTGGACTAGAAGAGACTGCTACATTTAACAGTTTGGATAGTGAACGGGTGTGAGCGAGATGCCAGCCTAGTAAAACGCTTAAATTCATGAAGTCTGGGAACCAGCTAAATCAGCTCATCGGAGCAGTTACCTTGAAAGTATTTGTAAAAAAAAGACAGAGGGAGGCGACAGCAGGTCTGTGAGAGAGCGACTGCAGACGAGATGCCAGATCAGGGCCAATTACATTGCATATTCGTCTCTTGATTTTATCAAGAACCTTGAGACAAACAGAAAAGGCTCCAGGCCATACATGGCAGCAATACTCCATGCAGGGTCGAATGGTTGATTAATAGATTTGAATGATCGACTCTGGCGAGAAAAATTCTTGACCAAAATTTTTGTCGACAGGGAATATCAGTCTACCGATAGAGAATATAATCTGAAATGTGGCGCATGTGTTTTCAGTTGACTTATATAGCGCACTATCTATCAAATAACTAATAACATCAGATAATTCTATGAAGTTGTTGTTTTATAAGGTTTCACTTCTTAATGTGATTAATTACCTTAATTCACACAATTACCGTAATGTGAGTAAAGCAGGAGAATGTACAAAATAGAATTACACCACTTAAATGAATCAACCCAAGGACATTCGTTGAATGTTCTCGATGAATGAAAACACTCAACAAAACAGGATCTAACAAGATACAAATTCTAATATGGCTTGTTCTCGCATTAAAACTATTAACAAAACGGGTTATAAAAAGTTCTAGAATCCAGAAGAATTGCACAGCAGAAGAAAATGAAATAAAGGAATATTCTGAATCTACTCATGATCATAAAAATCGGGAAAATTTAAAGAATGCTACAAAGAACATTATATTAAAAATCAATATAGTTGTACAGGGTATTAAAAATACCATCATTCTTTAGCCTATATAAATCTCCAATTTTAACAAAATATATAAGAATTAAGCGAACATATCTCAATGAGAATCTACCAGGAGTTTGAATCGGGCGTGTCTGCAACTGTGACAGTGTGTCGTCGAAATGGCCACTACGGGCACCTCATTTTACATCTTATGATTTTTCTCTATGGGGTTAGGACAGATCTCTATCCCCCTCTTCCCACGAGCCTTGAGAAACATCAGCATAGAATCAATGAGTCACTGGAGAATGTTACTCCAGACATGCTACATCGTGTTTGGCAGTTGCTGAACTATCGACTTGACATATGTCGTGTCACAGATGGTGCGTATATTGAACATTAGTGAAGCTTTGTGAAATCCGTCAAAAAAATCTGCATCCCTTTCAGTACCTTGTAAAAATATATCTTTTATTGTTCAACATGAAACCTATTTAACTTTAACGTTTGTCTGGGACATGTAGTTGATAAGATATCCACACTTTAAATGTTGTTCAATATTTTGTTACAAAGTGTAGATAATAGATTGATATATATATATATATATATATATATATATATATATATATATATATATATATATGTTAATAATAATATTAGCCGTTTCCTTATAAGGAAACATTCGGTATTCATTGACCAATTCCTAAAATGTTTCTCTCAAAATACTTTCTTTCGGAAAACAGGCTTTCTAAATCGAGTAGTGTTTATTATTCTTTCCAGTATTGATGGGGGGGGGACCTTCCAAAGATTCTATTTGAAATGGTGTGAAACTTTACGATATTGATTATACCATTATTGTCTCTAAGTTACATGTACTATCTGTTTTAGTTGTTGTAGCTGTTGGTAGTTCTAAAGTGATCTGTTTTCTGCTATTTTGCACAACGTTCAACGAAGGTTGATCTTGCTGAGATCCCCAGACTTCACACGCTCAAAGACTTTTTTCACCATTGATCTTCGGAATCGGTTTTATATAACTGACAGTTTAGATATTTCTTATTTAGTGCCATACATGACATCTATATGAAAGTCTGACGAAGATATTTAAGAACAGGACTCGAATTTTCAAGTTGATGTTTTAGTTACGTAACAATTGGCGGTATTGGGCGACACTACCTGTGATAATGCCTATTCTATATTCATTTTATATTTCTTCTATTTAGGATACATTTATTCCTGTCGAACGGTTTCAACAATCGAAATCTTAATTAAGAAATAATGCTTTTTAGCAGCGTTCGAATTTGACATTCTCGTTCCTTGGAAATGCCGCGATTAAGGTATGTGGGCTTCAGACAATGCAGCAAAGAATTTTACAACAAAAGGAGTCTCAGTAAACCTCTTTTAAGAAAGATACGTCTGCCATTTAGATCCTATATCGGCTATCTTTATTTTTATACCCGATACATAAACAAAATAAAGAATTTATAGATGTTTTAATACGACATTATTTTTTTTTTTTATTACAGTCGGTATATTAAGTGAACTCACGTGTTGGGGTAGATATTCCATTCAATTTACTTTATAAGACTTTACAGACATATCAAAAGACATTCATGACAAGAAATAAAGAGTAATAAAAAAATATGTTACCGTAAATCGGTAATTCCGAAATATAATGTCTTAAACCGGTTCATCGGTCCTCCCTGATCAGAGTAAAAATCGAGGACGACAATCTGTGCAGCAACAAAAAACAAACTCAGCCTTATGCTACATACAAACAAAAATATAACGTTAAAGCTTAAATATTTTTAAGCCCACCAAGCATTACATTACAGAGAGAAGGCTGGTAGGACTTAATATATGTATATTGTTCCAAAAACCTTCAAGTGATAATCTGCTTAGAAAGTTATAGTTGGCTTTTATTTTTGCTTTTGTTTTGCTTGTTTGCTTTTAATTTTATCTCGTGAATATGCTGGAAGAATTGGTTTTATAAAATTTAAAATGATAAAATTATTAATAAAGAAAATATGTAATTCAAATCGTCATTTATGTAATACCATCACACTCCAGAACGCAGGTGATTGTGGCTCTCAACGTATTCTTTATCGTAATTTTCTGTGATTTTTCCTAATTTCTTGGGTAGAATAGTGGTAACCGGTATAACAGATGGAAAATTCTGAATTCAAAATCGCATGTGCCCCTAGTAATGCACATATTCGAATTGCAACTGTCCTCTCAGCATAGTTGCAGTATCGAGCGGAGGTTGGCTCTTTGAATTAATACAAATGATTCTGAACTGACGGGCATGCTCAGAAAAAAGGTTTATTGCATTTGTCCTACGCGAGGAAAAATGGAAACAAAAACTCAGAAATGTTTTGGTTGGGTCTACACTTTGTTTGATTTCATTGATTAGTTATAGTATCAAACACAAGTTTACTCAGTGAATGTTGAAAAAATACAAATTGGCCTGGGTAAACTGTCAGAGAAACACGTAGCTATACTGAAGAGGAGAAATAACACGTATGTTCAGTCAAAATATATATGAAGTGTCGTCTTGTGTTGTTTTGTCATCTTGTTTTCTTTAGGTTTATTTCTACGAGAGGAAAAATGGAAACAGAAAATCAGAAATGTTCGGGTTAGGTCTTCCTGCACCTTCCTTGATTTTACTTCCATAAAATTATTTTTAAATTGACTGATTCATTTTCTTCGGGCTATCAACTCTTTGCAGTTTATTTAAAGCCAGAAAATATTCTTCTTGTATTATCCATGGTGTTCGAATTCGGAATAAGCATTTCTCCAGATGTACCTGCTACCGACAGATACAGAGAACATTCTACATTTCTATTTAACCCATAGCTAGGAGAAGGGGAAATAAAATCACGACTTTTACAGAAGTAAACAGGAACCGGTCGAATTCTACTTCCCTCCGTTAAGCTACCTGTACAACCGAAATTTTTTTTAAACCTATTAGAGATGAAGACAGAAAGGTGAAAACATTTATGGCATAAAGCTTACGTCATATAGGTAGCTGTATAAAAGAAAAAAAATGTAAGTAGCGCCATCTTAATTAGTTGTCTGCCAACTGTCATGTACAGAAATGGAATGTGCAAATCATACACAGATGAATAATTTTGGCATTCAAGTCAAAGATAACTGCATCAGTAGTGTATCCTTGGGTAAAAAAAGAGCATCTATAAGTTCAGAAGCCGTTCCTTTTCTTCGGAATCATTCGCCGCCTCGTTGGTTTGTTTCGGTCGGCAATTTGAGGCTAGAATTCATGGCTGGCGTGTTTCTTAAAATAAAACCGGGTAATAACTTATCTCCGTTGGGTATACGTGATACGAGTTGAAAATTAGAACCAAACACAACGGGGGATGGCTTGACCTTGCCTACAGACATCCAGACTGTTCGTCACGAGGAGCGATGTTTGATGGATGAATTGCCTCACCTAAAATTCTAGCAAGATTATCTGGTGCTGTCCAGAATTCGCGAGCAGTAACATAATTATCTTCAATTGTCATTCTGTCTACAATATCTCTTCACTTCTTTGCGAATGATTTCTTTCTAGAGAGAGAATTCCTATGACATTTCATGAAAATGTCAAATAATTAAAATAAAACGAAAATACCTCAATGTTTGACAGACGTCTCTTTAATGATCAAGAAATGTAAGGTTTCTACAGTACAAGAGACACTTGAATTTTGAAAGAGAAAGATTTCGTATAATTATTAAAGAATGAATTAATCTTTTGTATGTCATGATCTTTCAAGGACAATGGCGATCATAAGTCTCCACCACTTCATCTCGTTTAACGCCTGAAGTAACTTTTGTTAATTTATCATCACTCTCCTTTTTTTTCTCAATGAATCCTTACACAATTTTTCGTGGAAGTGTAACTTCAAGTCTTATTACAATACTTTTTCTCCCACATTTCTCGTCTGTTGAAATCTATTCTAACTTCTAGATTTCTTCTCACATCTCAGCTGGGATAAAACGAATGAAGGGACGATTTTATTCGACTGATCAAATCCCACCAACGAAAATAGTCTTATTTGTCCAAGATAGATTTAAGTCCATCATTTAACACTACAGATAACACATAAAAACCATAAAGCCATGGCGTTGATTATCATTTAACCGACAAGCGAACCTTCTAAAATAATATATATATATATATATATATATATATATATATATATATATATATATGGGGGAGAAAGTGAGAGAATGTATACTAAAGCAGCAAAAAATTCACTCAAACATGTTATATTCATTTCTACTGACAAAATGTCTTTTCAATGTTTTAATACATTTTTACAGTCGGCGTATGGGAACCTGGACGCCCAGAACAAATTTATAAGGAGAATATTCAAACTTAGTGTTTTTGTCTGGTTACTTTCCAGTTTCTCTAATTATCAAAAACGATAATTTTAGCAATTATAATTAAGAAAAGTTGTGATGCCTCTATCCTATTTTCCATCAGGGAAATATTGTTAGTTTCTTTTCTCGCATTTCTCGCCTGTGGAAATCTATTCTAGCTGCTTTATTTCCTCTCAGCTTTTCCATTTTCTCTATTTTTGATCCCGTTCTTTCTCCTTCCTTCTCAATAATATTTTCCCAATTTCCTTCACTTACAGCACCACATCGTCTATTCGTGGTTTTATCACCTTATGTGAGGGTGATAGGATTAAAAAAAAGCTTTTTTGGCCAATTTTTGTAGCGCTGGTTGCTAGTTGTTTCAGCATTTTATTTGAGTTTTCGTATTCTTCATGTAAAAAAGATTGTTATTAATTTCTGTATTTATGAAAAAAAACCCAGGGTACCAACTGAAGCATGTGGATCCAATGGAAATAAAGATTTTAAGATATAATTTCGTATTAAAAAAATCCTTAAAATTTATTTTGTTTACATTTCGGGCATCAAAATGGGATTCAGATATTCGGAGAAATCCCAACGAGAGATGCGCGTTCCTCAAATAGAATAATTTTCTTTAAGTGTTCAAATTCTTCATGCAAATAAAAACTAAAAATCAAATTTGATCTGATTAAAAGACGGTAAATTCAGTGTAGAATGTATGAATAGATGATGTGCCATATCCCTCAGGATATGAGCAAATATAATCCATCATTAATTTACGAGTTTGTGGTTTTTAACGTACCATTCAGTACAAATTAGACGTTACTATCTGATGTTGTATGTGAATTTCATTAGGTTATGTATGAAAGATAACAGTTAAGACTAGCCTTGAAGAGACCCAGATGGTACTGGTTGGAAAAACATCAGGATAGTCGTTGTTTGAACAAAGCAGCATTGCTTGTCACGAAGCTGCCCGAGTGGAACTTAATTATTATTAATAGAATACAAAGAGAATGAGGATAATTCATCCTTGTGTACGTGACATGGTGAGTCCCAACTGCTAAGGTCATGTTGGTAGGATCAAAGAATATAGATAGCCAAGACAATTACAAAGGAGTTATCGAAAGAATATCTAGAGCGTTGCAATGTTTCACTTGTGCGCAGTAGGTTGAAGGGTATAAATAATTAATCACCCACAATAAGCGTAGACACTTTAAAACTCTATCCAGACAAACAAGTGTGGACTGTGAAGCTACATTTTGGGTTTAGTTTGGCTTACGTAAATATGGAGTATGGCAGAGGAGCCAGAGTTGTAAAATAAATCAACCAATTTTTTTCAGTGTATTCAGCAATGAATCGCATATATAAGTTCTACTTGAGGCCTGAGAAGAGTTCTGTCTTTAAGAGAACGCCTATTCATGATGATATGTAAAAGTTCATAATCATCTAGGTGATGGTGAGACGTTATTAATTTGGTTTTGAAGGTATTAGATTTTACAAGTAATTCTTTCTCTCATTTCGCTACCAAGGCTAGGTCATACGAGAGGTAGCTGCTAGGTACCTGTCATTCTGATTTTTTTAAGGTGCACCTAGAAGCATACATGTAAACTAAGAATCGAACGTCCCAGAACTTATCATTGTCTCATTTTGGTAGTCAGCTTCCTTGTTATTTCAGTATCTCTTGTTTTCCAAACCTTCTGTCAATCGTACTGCTTGAATTCGTCGGAAAAGACACATCCTTTCCTATTTAAGGTTCTTCTTGATCTGTGAGGAGATTGTCTACTGTTCACTGTCCTTTTGGCATTTAGATATTACATAGCACCAATTTTTTCTAACGATGTTTCCTTGTCTTAATATTCTTGAATAGTTGCTAGAAGACATATTTCTCCTTTCTTGTGTGCGTTTGGGTTTCTTGTGTGCGATAGTTTGTATCTTTTGTTTTTTTGTTTGTTTGTTTTTTTGTTTTTTTACTCCAGTTCTGAGATACTTAAAAGTCTGTAACTTTATTCTTACGTCTCCAATATATGTCTAATATCCTGGATTTTCTATTGCTAACAACTATATATTCTGTGTTTTGACAGTTAATGATTTGTCTTTTTTGCTTCCATTGCATTTCTAACTTGTTTAAGAAAAGAGACGAATAAACGAGAATTGGATGTAAATCATTTTTACGAGAACATCAGTTCATGCAGTATTCACTATATAATTATATTGATTCTACGAAACAGATAAATCAACACATTTGTTTAATCTTTTGTATTCTTTAAAAAGTGTAACGTAATAAGTGAAACTTTTTCCCCATTTTTCACTTATCATATTCTTTAAATTTTATGAGAATGTATCGATATCATATTTTAATAAAAGTTTTCAAAATCTTATTTATATTCTCACACTTTTTGCGATCAATTTTTATTTTACTATAACTTTTATCCTTAACTTTATTTATTTTTAACCAATTCACTCCATGCAAGGCGATAACGCCTCTCAGCCGTAAACTGGGGATACTGGTTGTGAAAGAAACGGAGAAAACATTACAATGAACCGCGAACCCAAATAAATTTCACAATTTAGGCGGACACGTTAGAAGTATAGATTTGAAGTAGAATTTAAAAGAAAACCGGAAACCGGATGCTAAATAGGAACCATGGGATAAACTTACACTTTTGGGCAAATTAATTGAAGCAACAGCTTTAGTTTTCTTTCTTTCATCATACGATCAGTTTTAAACCCACAAGTGCGACAGGGTGTAATCGATTCCTATTTCTTCTTCAGATTAGGTCATTTGTGGTGGTGTGCAGTAATATGGATCTGTTTTCGGGGTGTATGATGAAATTTGTCCTTGAAAAGTATTATGTCATCTGTGATTGCATCAGATTTTTATCACGCCCAGACACTATTGTCTCGACTGTCGATTAGTTGTCCTACGGCTATTGTCTGTGATGGACGTTACTCCAAAGAAGTGTACGAAAATGGTGACGCTGCACGAACACACTGGCACGCCTTACTAGTGAGCAAATCAAAGTACTATATACTGGCCCGGGAACTCTCCTGACTTATTCGTGATGTATTCAGTACGAAAAACCAATTTAGATACGTCTTAGACTCTCAAGATTTTTTTACAGCTTACATGGCTTAGATTGTCGATGACGTGTTAAGGGAATATGAGTCATTACTAAACTATATCCCCACCTCTTCTGCCAGCCATTTACACAAGTCATGATTGGTTTATTGCTGTTTACCTGTGTTTTTCTTGTGGTCAAAATATTCCGTAAGCTATATATTCTCTAAACCTTCTTGTCTCATTAATATATTCTAGAAAATTCAATTGTTTCTGATTCTAAGGATAAGTCTATTTTTCCTTCAGGCACCCATTTCTATCCCGACCGTGGTAGTCTCAGCAAACTTTTCTAGAACTATATCTCTCTTACCTCAAGTATCCTCTTCATCTGATAGGATATTGCGAGGACGTAGTAAAAAAGAGATATTTGAATTTTCTGGGATCCATTTTGAGGAAAGTTGGAATAGATAATTGAAATCTCACGAGGACATATTGAAGGCATGATAAACAGAGGGAAAAACAAGTAAACCTACTCGATGCATTTGCGGGAATGGAGGACATCAAGATCCGGATAATAAAGACTCAAACATTAGATACATTTATAACTAAAACAGGAATGTTTTTAAGCATATCACCTCAAGCAAGGCGGGAGTTCCACTAGCACGCAAGGGGTTACAAAGGCTGAGAGCAACAGTAAAATGGGGTGTTTGGGGAAAGGATATAGAGAAGGACGCGGATCAAGATCCCGGCATCAGAAATGTCGATTGACATTACATTGTAATATTTGAAGCTTATAGCTATCAGAGAAGCAAGTAAGAGGAAGAGAGTT